GCCACATGTGCCCCTAGTAGCGTCCTTGCTCCGTTCGTAGCGATGCCCTTTGCTCCTAGTAGCGTCCTTTGCGCGATGTGTTTGTTTCTTTGTAAAGAGTTGTGTGAAACTGAAGGAGTTGGGGTCGTTGGGCCTGCTAAGTGGAGAACACAAAGCAATCGGTGTTAGCTTTAATGTGTAAAGAAAGGTGTTGACAAGTCGCGTTACCTAAAGTTTTGCTTCACAGCTAAGTGCTCTAAAGCTTAGTGTTCAAACATGTTCCACCTAGCCATTTAATGCTGTTGGCAAATCCATAGACGCATCCAACAAGATATACCAGCACCTTCAAAGGGGTCACCAATGGAAGCCCCTACACTACCTACGGATCTCCATTGGACACCCCTTTGAAGGTCCAGGTATAACAACTATTTGTCCAGGATCTTCTGTTAGCCTCTTTGGAGTCTCTATTACCTGCAGTGGTCTAGATAAAACGACGAAGTCTGGTGAGGCTGGTCACCTGCCTGACGAAGTCACGACCTGGTGGATGGACGGTGGACGGGATTGGTTTCCCCAAAGATGAACAGGTGGACCCTTCGCTTCACCGGAACATTGATAGCATCGCTAGATCGTCGTAGCAAAAACGGCTCAGTCAAGTCCGTCTAAGCCGGCGGCTGTGTCAAGCCTGGCTCCGAACCAACCTGACCGGGGTCCGCTCCACGGAGACCGGTTCACATGGGTTTGGGGGCACAGTCATGTCATCAGGCCTTCTTTGTACATCGACTACATGAGGACTACAAGCAAAGCCTCATAGAGGCTGACTGTCCCAATCCCCTGATCCTGGCTGGATTGCTCCTTTGATGGACTAAGCTCGGGATTGAGACATGCGTGATTCATATAGGTGATTCTTGAGACAAAGTGCGTATTTTGGAGATGATCTGGATGAGGGATTGACATACGGCCTTGAAGTTCCACAACTGCAAATGAAAGAACAGGCCAGCTTGGTGGGAAGAAGCTTGTTGGCGTGAATGACGTCTTTGTCTAAATAGAATCCTGAGGAGTCCTTTGTTTGTTGCGAAGCGAGACGTGAGTGATGGTTGATCCAGATTTCTGAATTTGGCCAGCTGGCTGGACTGTCCATGTTGAAGAACACAATGATCCAAACCTTGAAACACCTCCGCCAGTGTTTTTGGCGAGTCCTCTTCCCTGTCGATGGTCACAGTATGGTCTCGGCCTCGGTTTGCTCGTTTTGGCACTCAGCAGCCCCAAAAGCGGCCCCTGTGCAGGGCCAGATGAGGCCTAGGCCTCATGTCTTTTGAAGGGGTGTTTCCCGCGCTGAAGATAGGACTGTTGCATCATGGAAAACATTGGTCTTTCATGCTCAGCCACAGGGAAGGATCAGAAGGAATCAAATTTCTGCAGAAGAGCAGAAAAGCAAATTGCAAAGGTATCGAACTGGATCTTGCTGGACAATCTGGACATGTTTCCTAACAAGTCACAGGCCGCGACTCAAAGAGGATTTAGTTTATAGCCTGTAGCCCCTTCTGTTCCTCACCATCTTGTTCAGGCCCCAAAAAAGAACCAACGATCCTGAACACATCCGATACCTTTTGCTCCCATCCACCCAATATTTGATGCTGCCCTCGGCCCTGGGTCGGCCCCCGCCCCGTTCGTTCATTCGGCCACGGGTCGACTGGGTTCGGTCGTCCGGACGCCGAGGTTGGTGAGCGAAGTCTACTTGCTGGCACCTCCATGGACAGACCCTGTGGATAAAAATGATCGTTCTTGTCCAGGAACGAATTTTTGGTGGAAGTGCGTATAATGACATAGGGCTATATGGAAGGCCTCTTGTTGGAACATACTGTATACTGCATATAATACTATAAACACACCTTGCAAGTCCGAAGTCCTGGTTTAACGAGGTCATTTGAAAAGGAACAAGTTTAACTTGAACATCGCGTTTGTCGGACACAACGCTTTTTGTGCCTTCCACAGCCGCATCACCACATCAGTCCACATAGGTCCTGCCAGAACGAACAAAAAAACAATCAAAAAAGTCACCAAACTGTGTAGAACATGGTACATTACCTCCTGGAGTGATGTTCTAAGGCCTAAGGGATCCTTCACCTGTCTTGCCATGGGAGTTGCGAAAAGTGACCAAACTTCAAACACTTGGGTGCCCGTCGTGGTTGCTAAGCGTTTGTCTCGATTGAACCTGTTTACATAAACGCCGGAACCATGGCTACAATTGAGGCAACCATGGGTTATCAGATTTATAAACATGTGTACAATCACACTGTCCTGTTTACTAAAAGAAGTCATAGGTTTTTGATGGATTGTTAGTAAGCCTGCTAAGACTTATTAGATGGAAGCTAATTTTTAGATCAAGTTTAGCCTATACTTCACTTGAAGTGGGCTAGTCGCGTTGGCTTGTTTAGCCCACTTAGCTAAGCGTGACTGTCTTCTTTACAAAACAAAGATAAACGGCTCTGGCGTACTTATAAGAAGGATTATAACCGTGCCAAAAATAATCTGTTTTTGGTCCGTGGGATCGTTTTTTACATTCAATTTGCTGGCCGTGAAAGGTTTTTGTCGGCGTGCGAGCATCGGGTTCTTCACGATCGTAAACATCTCAAGTTGGATGGGTTGCTTGATTGCTTCATTCCATGGAAAAGGGATCTGCATCAGGACCAAAGCCAAGGATTCATATGGTGCAGTGGAGATGCCTCGACGGTGAAAAACCATCGAGCTTTTAATCTTTTGCGGCGCCGCGCATGCACCATCGCAAGACTTGAAGGAGTTGCGGCTTAGAAAACACGAGTGCACTTGGTCTTGAAACTTTAAACACGCGGGGTCTAAAGAAGTTTGGTGTGTCCCTTGTTTTGCTAAGCTGAGATGTGTCATTGGAGGCTGGTTGGTTGCATGACTTTGAGCCGGGAACCTTGTGTGATAGAGAGGGTCACAAGGTCGCGAGAGCCCGATCCTTTTGGGGGGGGAAGCGGAGCTGGGCGAGACGATCCACCGCTACTACAAGGAGCGCGCAGGCCCTAGGATGGCAAGGCAGCAAAGGTGGAGGAGAAGATGGAGAAGTCTGAGGCTTTGGCAAAGGAGGAGGAGATGGCTGCGGCTGAGCAAGAGGAAGAGGAGGTGGAGGAGGGCACTGCTGAGGGGCAAGACATTGAGGAGGTTGAAGTAGAGGAATTTTAAGGAAGGTGCAGAGCATCAGCGCGAGGAGAAAGAGCAAGAGAACAAGGAAGATGACCTGCATTTGGAGCCTGATGAGCCTGATGGTGAGTGGCAGCGCCATGATGACACGGCGCCCTGGCGACAGAGTGGGGAAGGGGCAACGGAGGCATCATGGTGGCTGGGGGCATCATTGTGGCTGGGCGTCACAGCGCAAGCCGCGCTGGGCGCAGAACAACTGGCGCCAGAAGAAGGGCATGGGCCAGGGCAAGCGAGATGAATGGGGCGGCGAGTACGCTGAAGGCGGATACCGGGATGTGGCCGGCAACTTCTTTCCGTGCCTTGGAATGAGTACTTATTATAGATCCTTTTCAAACGTTTGTCACATTGTCCATCAGCCTTGCACCTTTTTGTCGTTCTGTTCAACGAGCCGGTTGCTCGAGGCCCTGTATAGATGTTTTTCCTGTTTGCCATACTGTTCAACGAGCCTGGTGCTTAAGGCCCTGTAGCTTTGCAACAGTTTGCAGCTGATTGTGGGACTGCTCAACGAGCCTGTTCATCCGGGCCCTGTCACCGTGCTCTCTGCTCCGTCGTCTCAGGTATGGCAGTGGCCGCTCGCGGAAGAGGACGCCTGGCAAGGGATGGCAAGCGTGGCAGGAGGCGAAGCAGGCGGAGGAGCGCAAGAGCGGCAAGGCCAAGGGCAAGCTGAGGGATGATGGATGGACGGCCGCCATGATGTCAGCAGTGCAGGATTTGGCTGGGCGGCGCGCCGGGTGGTGGATGGGCAGCGCCAGGCCTCCTCTAGCAGCTAGATGGCTAGATGTGGTGAAGGTGTAACCTAGGCTTCAACGAACTTCACCACTGGCCATCAAACTGTTTTCGATCTTGGCCATAGGCCTTCCACCACATAGTAGCAGCGCGTGATATGAGTGGCTGCCTGGAAAGAGCAAATCGCAACAAAACCTGAGGCGCGTCACCACTTTAAGGATGATTTGCACTTCTCTGGAACAGCTCCAGGCCAGGCAGTCAACAGAATCCTATGAGCATCATCCACTGGACATCGCAACTACAGCCAACCCGCCAAGAACTCCAACATGTCACAGCACCGCTCTAGGCCCTCCACTGTCTCATGTGGTGAGGTTCAAACATCACATCAAGCACTCCTGGCAGTGCCTTGCAGGGAACTCATACTCCATACTTACACAGGTGATTTTCAACGCTGATTTCGAACACCTTGCTATAGTCGGGCAACACACGTTACGACCCTTCTCAGGTGGTAGCAGTCGAGGTTCCTTCCAGGACCTTGTCACGAAAGCTAGCAGGTCATTGACTTGGGACATGTTAAGTATGTTCTAACAAGAGGCCTTCCATATATAATATGCATGTTAATAATATATCATGGACAAGTACAGTATGTGTATCAGGCGCACTGCGTACAGTGTTTTTGCTTACAGTGCGCCGAAAGCCGGTGGTTGACTTGCGTTCGAAGCTCGTCCGCTCTCTGACCAGGAAATGGACTACGCATGGTTGTTTGGGAAAGGAAAATGGGAAAATGGTCTCCATGTTACGTTTGCTAGTGAGTCGGAGTGTGAGTACTGAACTTGCTCCTGCTGCTTACAAGTGATGTGCTCTTTAAAGATATAATATATAGTTTTTTATACAACCCATACCAATGTGGGATAAGCAAAATAGGCCAATCCCCAGCTCGCCATGAAACAACCGCAGGAAAATTGTAAATAACAATCATTGTTGTTTCGAAGTTTGAGGATTTGAGCATTGTCATGTGTTGAAATCAACATATATATTTTTGTTTTGCAACCACAACTAAGACTGTGGGTTTCATAGAAAATGTTTGCTTCAAAAAACTGTCCTGCCTGCTGTCTCTCCAAGGCAACTGTTTGATTTCCCTGTTTGAAGGCCGATTATAGACCTTGAGGTTTTTGACGGGTTGCTTTGGTCCAGAACGGATGATCATCTTGAATCTTCCCAAATCCTCACGTCGCCTCACCGGGTCTCCTTCATTCGACAGCTGTCGATTTGAGGACATCGATCGTGCCTTCAACTTGGTGCGTGGAGCGGGCATCATCACGGCGCAAGTGGCCAACGACTTCGCGATGGCCATCTCGGAGGAAGGCGACCGGGAGACGCTTTTGAGAAGAGTCTGGACAGGACAATAAAACAAACTGTGCCATATATGCAATAGTCATGTACATTTTACCTCATCATTGATCCCAATGTAAGTTTTCTTAAATTGACATATCGGGGTGGATCCCTTTTCTCGCCCCTGGGGGTTGGGTTGTCGAAAATCCCACACCGAACCCAGGAGGTTCCTTTTTAATGCGTTAAGTGACTCTTAAGTGACAGTAAGCCAAAACTGAGCTCAGTTTTTATTGGTCAGGTTGTGCTTTTGGAGGACATTGGTCCAGGTTGCTTTTGGTCAGCTACTAGGGGCAATTGGGGAGAGACCCTTTTTGGAGGCTTCGAAGGGCGAGTGGACCTCGATGTATTTGGGGAGCCTCTTATTGTGAGCAACCAACATTGAAAACAAGAACGACAACGTGTAAGCAACTGGCGCATACTGGTGCAAAATAATCATTAAACCTGAAATTGACAAGTTATGTGTTTACTTTTGGTCATGCTGGTCGGCAACATGACACGAACCTGGTGGCATGTACACAGTTCTTTTTCTGAGCCTTAGCCGTTTGCATGAAACTGAAAACCATCGAAAAGCAACTCTATAATTTCTAGGCTTCCGCAGTGAAATAAAGACCCTTTTCCCGGGCCCGATGTCTATATTTTCGTGTTTAGGACAGATTATTATAAAACTTTGACATGTGCCATGTGTATCATTTTTGTTTCATTTGTCCCGAATGCGTAGCGAAGGGTTGTCGTTTATAGTGGTGGGGGTGTGCGGGTTGGACTGCGTTCGCCTCGCGTGCTGTTTGTCGTCGTCTGTCGTCATCGTGGGGTCTTTTCTCGTCGTCGTGGGGTGAGTCATTTGTCCCCATTGGGCAAAGCTTTTGGAGAGGTTTGTCGATGGCGGGTGATCGTCAGATTCGTCGCGAATATGGTTTTGGGATGTTGGAATTTGATTTTTTCAGTCGCAGGATTGTTTTTTCAATATTGAAGATTGAAAACATAATCAATATTTTTGTGATCAATATCGACCAATATCATGATCAATATCAAGACCAATATTACAACCAATATCAAGACCAATATTAATGTCAAAAGGAACTCCACAGCATCTCCGCAGGATTCTAAATTCCACAGTGTCTCCACAGGGTTCAAAACTCCACAGGAACCCCACACGATCTCCACAGGATTCTAAACTCCACAGGAACTCCACAAGAACTCCACAGGAACTCCACAGGAACCCCACAGGATCTCCACGATCAATATCATGATCAATGTTCAAAACCAATATTGACCAATATCGACCAGTATCATGACCAATATTATATTGATCATGATATGGAATTGTTAGGCTTCCAAGTTGACCATTTTCATTTTTTTGAAAAAGTATTGGGACCAATCGTAAGATTGGTATTTTCAATGTCGGATCCTCAGAGTAAGGGAGGATGAATTCACTGCGCAGGCGTAGCGTTTTGTGAGATCCGCAGTTTTCTGCGCGGTCACATTGATTGGGTGTTGGATGTGGCTGTGACATTGGGATTTGCGTTTCAAGGTGTTGCATCGATGCTGTGTTTTCGTGACAGTGGATTTTAAGTGGATGGGAATGTGCTCAGAACGTGTCGAAATCATTCCCCAGCGTGCGGTGCAAATTCTGTTGAAGCTCACATGATATGATATTGTCACTTTTTGTGGCAGGCGCACTACTTTGTGCGGGTTTTGAGGTGTGGAAGTGCGATTTTCGTGGCAGGTGCAGGGGATCGTGAGGTTGCGAGGTGTGGCGGTCATATTTCGTGACAGGAGCAGTACTTTGTGCCTGTTAGACGCGTGGACACGTAAATTTGCGTGGCAGGCGCAGGGAATCGTGAGGTTGCGAGTTGCGTTGGAGGTGAATGTCGCTGTGACATTGGGATTGGAGTCTGGGAGGGCGTTGTGAAATCGCGAAACTTGGCAGGACTGCTTGATGTGTGTGCTCCGATGGGGCTTCTCGCTTGACTTCTGGAGGAATCTCCTATGAAATGCTCGTTTTGGAGACTTTGACATGTGACTTTTGGAGGAAGTCTCGTACGAAACGCTTGTTTTGCAGACTTTTCAAGCGTGCTCTTTCAGGAAGTCTCGTGCGAAACGCTCGTTTTGGAGACTTGACAAGTGAATTTTGGAAGAAGTCTCGTGCCAAATGCTTGTTTTGAAGACTTGACGTATGACTTTCGGAGGAAGTCTCGTGCGAAACGCTCGTTTTGAGTGTTGGGTCTGTTTATATAAGTTGGACTACGTCGCCCATGTTGGACACATTTTGGCGCTACCATCTATGTACTACACTCTAACTTTCACGTGGACGAAGATGGTCCCAGGTCATGTTTGGTCGTTTTTTTGAAATCCAGAGGGGAGTCCGCCTAAACCAGGGGAAGGCGGACTCCCCGTAAAAACTCAAATTTTGCCATTTTTTGCTTTTGAATTTCAGGAAATTCTGCCATTGCCATGATGGTAGCAGATTTCGGCTCAAAGCCTCTTACGACTGGGAAACACATGAAGAGCAAAGCTCCTATCAAAAGGGAAGGCTCCCATGAAGAGGGGACCTAAACCTAAAAAGAAGAAGTGCAAAAAATTGGGGGGAGAAGCTGCCACGCTTCCCGGTCGCTTGTGGAATGCGTGGAGGTGCTAGTAGTATATGGCACTGGTTCTGACACATATTATTCTCTGCTTGCGCATCAGTGAGTGCTTGAAATTAAGAGCAGAGGACTCCTCGTTCAAGGCTTCAACGGTGTACATCGGGCCGCTTAAGCGGCAAGAAGCGATGCGCAAGCCCATCCTTCCCGAAATCAAAGCCATGCTGCTTTTAAGTTTATTAAGCAGAAAGGAGCGACCAATAGGAGAACCGAGAACAAAGGCTCGCGAGGTAAGGTGACATGGTGGGACAAATGGAGATGGCCCGCAGAAGGATTGCTGTTTGGTCATGTTACCCCCGGGCACATGCCATCATGCACCCAGCCACCATAAAAGTGACAGACATGCCACCTGAGGGCGCGCGCTCCAATTCATTGCGCCGCCCACGGGCGCGCAATGAGTTGAATGGTGCTACCTACGGGCGCGCCATGAGTTCAATTGTGCTACCTGAGGGCGCGCAATTCGATGTGTGCTACCTTCAGGCGCGCACAGTTAAAGATGTGCTATATCTATGGACGCACTCTTTGAAAAGCAAAGACAAACGGCTGTTTCCTTTTCTAAACCCTTTATGTTGGGTATATATATTGGGGACCGATGACTTAGGACTCGTGAGGTCCAATGTATTCTTGCTATGGCCGGACGACATAGAACACTGCTTGGTTCCACCATTCCTGGAATCTTTAAGAGTATGTCTTGTGTTTCCTGGTTCTTCTCCCTTCCTCATGATATGGGAGCAAACTTCCAGCAAATCCTATATAGGTCATTGGCTGGAAGTAGATTTTTTTTTAATCAACCCCTTTTGACCCCCCGTGTTCTGCGCAGGATGCCGGATGACGAGACTGAGTCGTCGTCCAGCGAGTCAGCGTCGCCGCCAGAGGAAGAACGAGAAGCAAACGAAGTTGTAGCCCTGACCGAAGCACCATGATTATGAGGATGAAGAAGATGCCAACGCAGCGCTAACAACCTCAGACTTAGCCCCGCCTAATCTGTCATAATCTGCGAGCGCAAAGAAAAGCGCTGCCACTTAGCAAGTTCTGAAAGCTAAGCCTGGGAGGCTGGCATTGCCAAGCCACGCCAAGACTTGCTTTTGTGTGGGCAGCGGGGTAACCCTAGCTGCACCGCGCCTGCATTGGACTGAGTTGGCCCATCACTGGCCAGCTGGCGGGCCAAGCTGGTCCAAGTTGATGAATTCGCTAGTCAGCGTTGATGTGAACAACCCGTAGCCGTGAAAAGTTTGCTTATCAGACATGCGGGCGTAATACATCGCAATATCATCTGCAAGGCCGCTAGCCTTTAAGGTGTTGACCATGGTTTGTCGGCCTGAGTGCGACCGGATGGTTCTGTCAGTGGGCTCCTCAAAAGTAGATCTCAGGCGCGAGATGGCTTTGCAAACTGTGTCTTTGTTGCGACCTTCACTGTCGCAGTCCATACAATCAGCTGGACCAATGCTCCAAAACACAAAAGTACTACGCCCAGCTTAAATCATTTTGGGTCCATGACCCCAAAAATGCGACAATCAGTCCTGGCACAGATGCGCCCGATCCACAGACCCACCTTCAACCACTGTATTAGCATCGGTCTGCTCACGCATACAAGATGGGACCCTGACCCTTGCTTTGACATGTGTTCTGGTGCACCAACCCAAACATATGTACGTATGTATGTATGTATGTATGTACATATGAAAATTAACACACACAAATATAATACATTTGTGTAGTTATGTATAATATAAAGCGGTTTACTTGTATAAACTTGCCATCATGGGAGTCCGCCTTCCCCGGGTTTAGGTTTAGGCGGACTCCCCTCTGGATTTCAAAAGCAACGACCAAACATGACCTGGGACCATCTTCGTCCACGTGAAAGTTAGAGTGTAGTACATAGATGGTAGCGCCAAAATGTGTCCAACATGGGCGACATAGTCCAACTTATAAACAGACCCAACATGGTGATCGTGCAAGATTTCATCATACATCAGCCTTCATCTCTTCAGAAAAAAAGTGCCAAGTCCCCTGGAAAAAAGTACGAAGTCACCAGATCCTAGCTTCTTTGCAGACTTGAAGTACAACAGTGTCCGACCAGAGTGTCCTACGAGAGTGTCCCACAAGAGTGACATATACAAGAGTGCCCCGCAGGAGTGTCCTACAAGACTGTTTCGCAAGAGTGTCCTACCAGAGTCCCACAAGAGTGACAAACAAGAGTGTCCCACAAAAGGTTCCTACAAGAGTGTCCCGCAAGAGTGTCCCTCAAGAATGTCCAACCAGAGTGTCCTACAAGAGTGTCCCACAAGAGTGTCCTACAAGAGAGTTCCGCAAGAGTGTCCCGCGAGAGTCTCCTACAAGAGTGTCCCACGAGAGTGACATACAAGAGTGTCCCACAAGAGTGTGCTACAAGAGTGTCCCACGAGAGTCGTCCACAAGAGTATCCGACAAGAGTGCCCTACAAGAGTTTCCTACAAGGGAGTCCTACAAGAGTACACAAGAGTGCCCCACAAGAGTGTCCTACGAGAGTGTCTCACACCAGCGACACATTAGAGTGTCCCGCAAGAGTCCTACAAGAGTGTCCCACAAGAGTGTCCTACAAGAGTGTCCCACGAGAGTGTC